TGGTGGTGGTGGTGGCAGTTAGACCTGGAACCAAACCAAAGGCGAAAATCAAACCAAATCTTAAAATTGAACTTTGTATATCACTCGCGTCAGGCGAAATTCTCGTACGTCCAAAATGATCACTTTTGAGGAGACCCCCAAAACGGCATGTATTAACATCACATTGGCAAAGAGCGCAAGCCATTTTCATCACTTTCAATTGGTTAAAACCATGCAATCGTGTGGAAAAAATAGCTAATTTACCAAATTGTGAGATAGGAGGAAGTTGTACACAAACAGGGACCAACCTCTTGCATGGAGACTCGACGTTGATGTTGTCTTTGCGCAGGAAATGATACAAGCTGACAACTCTGTCGTTCAAGTAGGCCATCTCGATGCAGCCTTTGTACATGGGATAGTTGAGAGGCGCCGGCGGCTGGGGAGGAGCCACAGATGGAAAGAGAAAACGAAAAGTGCTCGAGTTGACACCGTGTTGGGACTGGTGCCTCCTTGTTTGCCTTGCTGCCGGGAGCTCACCGTGAAGTTGGACGGGTAGCCTCCCACGTAGAAAACCAAATCTTCTGGGGTGAAATCCAGAAGGTTTTTGGTTTCGTCTCCTCGGACGCTGCCCACACTCGGAATCCCGGGAGTGTCTGATGTGAAGTCTTTGGTGAGGATCAACTCTGCATCTTGATAAATTCTAAATGACAACAAGTAAACAACTAAGCATGATTTGAGTATGACACATTTTTGATTGCCGTTGGTGTAAACAAATATTTTTTTTCCCAGTTTCGGCTACCTCTCCATGTCCTTTCTCTGCTGTGTTGTGCAGCACAAGTTGCCATTGAATCAACATTCTAAACATGACTGGAGTATGTCATTAAAAAAAACAAAAACAACGGACATTGGTGTAAATACATTTTCAATTCTGCAAAGAAAGTGGACATGTGTTGTGATTCCTGCCTCTTCTCCATGTCCGTTCCCAGCAATGTGCGATAGCAGAGGTTGCCAGGGAATCAGTGTGATTGGAATAAGCCACATTCCCCCCCCAAAAAAGTAAATATATCTATAAATTCTCATTTAATTTTGCCTCACGAAAAGTGCTCTGACGTGTGTCCTACCAACTCTCCCAGTCCCTTCTCTGCTGTGTGGGGGAGCATAAATTATAGCAGGGGTGGACAAGTGGCAACCCATGACCAGAAAAAAA